TTATAATTATAATTATAATTATAATTATAATTATAAATTATTATTATTATGTTTGGGTAGATCTACATGAATGGCAATCGAAATCTACGGATTATAATTTATTTTTTGTCATGTGTTTTTATCATCCGTATTTAAATAATCATCAAAATTTCAAGGCTTACTTCAAAGTTTTTTCAAGCGCAACCAATTTCACCACTTTTCATGCCCCATTAGATTTGGGATACTTACAAATAGTAATGACCGAAATTAAAAACATATGTTGGTCTCTAACAGAACTGTATTATAATTAAAATTTACATTATGTTATCAAATATCGATTTTTTTTATTACTTCCGATTAAGTGGAGGGAATATACTGACAATTGGGACATAATATCCTTTACAGGTTGCCAACTAGTGGTGGAGTTGAAAAATAGAGGAAATTTTAATAGGAATTATATTATCTATCACAAAATGTTAAATCAGTAATTTTTACAAGGCCGTATTAATTTATTAATTTGATTTAAGATTAATTTAGTGAACCCTCTACCTCCGCCATTGGTTAGCAACCTGTAGAGAATATTATGTACCAATTGTCAGTAGATTCCCTCCACTTAATTGGGAGTAATAAAAAAAATCAATATTTTCTAAAATTTCTTTAACACTGTATCTCGAAAACAAAAGAAATTTAGACATAAGTGTATATGAACTTTTTATATGTTTCGAGGTCCTCTATCATGTGGTGCTATGCATTGCACTTTTTTCTATGTCACTCTGTATATGATGGGACTAAAGTGATTTAATCCCTTAAGTAGTTGCTCTGTACTGTTTTACTAGCAGGATTAAATTATGCCCCTACAAAAATCAATGAAATTATAGATGACAGAATTAGCTCACCAGTTTATTTATTATTATCAATAAAAACATAAAATTTTAACAATCAGTTTTTGAGAAATCTTCAACTAACAATTAGTTTAATAGTTTCAAATCTTTTAACGTTTAAATTTAAAGTCATAATTGTACAATTGCGGAAAGTAAATTGTAGATGCCATAACATGCCAAATAAATTAATTGCACATGTCAAATATACTCTATACATTTTTAGTAATTTTTGAACTGTAGGATACAGTTTTAGAAGAAAATATCGTTTGATACTAGATTGCGAAATTCTTTTGCATTCTCGAATGATATTCTCGAATGCAATATTTCGCAATCTAGTATGAAAAATAACTATTTCCAATTCCAAAGTTTTCCTCTCAATGTTTTTTAATAGCCATGTAATATATGGTACAACATATTAATTGAGTTTGTCTAAAGAAATTATTAAATGTAAACTAAACTACGAGTTTGAATATTTTAACTTAGGTACATAGTTTTGTAATGAAAGTCAGATGACCTAACGAAGAAACTATGGACAGATTGAAATATTTTTTTGAGATGTTTACATTGACGATAAGATAAGAATTTGCAATATCTTCTGTTTATTTGTAGAAATTTTTAAATGATTCCACTTTGACCGTTGTTTTGAGTGGATGCCAAAACGTTGCTAAGGTATATACCGGGTAGGAAAGTACCCATGGTATATCTGAAGTTACGTGAGAGCGATAAGTAAGCCATAGAAATCCATGTGATAGACAAGGATGGGTATAGTGAAGGCGTCTAATAGTCACCGCTCATTTCGCCCTTCCACAAATAAGAAGTGGATCTGTATGACAATTATTGGTGATGTTTGTTAATTTTGACTATCTATTGCAATATTTTTCAACTGAAATAGTTAGCGAATGAGTTTCACTTCTATTTCTTTGTTACCATGAGCTTTTTGACATTTGTGTTTTGAAACCATTATTACTGTTTATTTTTTGTTTTTGATATATTTTTACAGTTTATCTTTCAATTTTCGATGTTTTTATCTTCGGAAAAAGTTTTTTTGCTGTGGAAAGGTCAATTTTGATTTTTAGTTAAACACTTATTTTGACAGAAAAGATCCACATGGCATTGTATAAACATGTGTGAAGTAAGCTATTCGCGATCGTTGCTCCTCCAACGTTAATAAACATTGCCAATTTATTTTACATAAAAATATATATGTAAATAATAATTTTTATATGTTAAAATTATATTTTTGAAATTAATTTTTTTTTGTACATTACGTGTATTATTCAATGTCCAACTATAAATTTACCTTGAAAAAATAAATGGTACCCGCCGCCCGAGCGGCATTCTAAAATGCGCTGTTAGGCGCAAAAAGGTTGGGGAACCCCTGGTATAGATCATAATTTAATTTTACAAAAACATCATTATGGTATTAGAGGTAACACCTGTGATTGGTTTTCCTCCTATCTAACTGACCAGTTAGATAAGAGGAAATCAATCTTTTGGAATGGAATGTAACAATAATAAAATGAGATCATACCCGAAATTCATGCAACAAAATTTGGTCACAGATTCTTAGGATAAATTTAGGGGACCCGTATTTTTTATTTTTGCCAAGTGGCCCCCTCTTTCGGAGTTACAGCCCCCCGAAGTCCGCCCCTAAGAATAATCTTTTTTTATATCTCAGAACCCTATTGTATGAGAATCACTAAATTTGGTACACAGGGGTTTTATGACATGTGGAATCTGTTGGTGCAACGTTTTTTGGCGGGGAACCCCCTTAAGACAATTTTTCGTGGGCCCCCTTGTCTTTGGAGCCAAAAAAATTTGATTGCATATTTGAATTTCTTAAAAATTATCAGTCCACTGGAAAGCCATTGAATTTAGAAACTTTTTGTCTCTTTATACTTTTTTCGTAAAACGCAATGTTTTCGAGAAAAATGTCAAAATGTGATCGAATGCATATCGTGATTCTCCATTTTCCTCAAAAACGTTGCATTTTACGAAACAAATATCAAGGGACAAAAAAGTTTCTAAATTCAATGGCTTTCTAGCTAACTAATAATTTAAAAAAAAAATCAAATTTGCGACCAAATTTTTCTGGTTTCAAAGACAAGGGGGTCCCCGAAAAAGTGTCTTAAGGGGGTTTCTCGCAAAAAAGCGTAGCACTGTGAGATTCCACATGTCATAAAACCCCTGTGTACCAAATTTAGTGATTCTCGTACAACATGGTTTTGAGATATAAAAATGACTTCTTAGGGGCAGATTTCAGGGGGCTGTAACTACGAAAGTGGGGGCCAGTTGGCAAAAAGAAAAAATACGGGTCCCCTAAATTTGTCTTGAGAATCTATGACCAAATTTTGTTGCATGAATTTCGGGACACCCTGTATATTTTTGCAGGGGGTTGTTGAGAGACGTGCCACAGGGGAATATACTTGGACCTCTTTTATTCATCATTTTGTGGATGAATTTAAAAATGTAACTTCTAACAAGAGTAAAGAATTTACTTTAAAAAAGCATATTATACAAATTCATTAATAAAGAATTCTAATAATTATATGAATATACTGAAACTAGGTAATGTATTAATGAAATTGGCGAAACTGGGTTTAAATAAAGATAAAACTGATCGCATCTTATTTAAAGTGAATAATTTAGTTCCACTGAACATTACTTATGGCTAAAAATTTGCAAAATGTGGGAAAATTCATAAATATGATATAAGATTTCAAGTTGATGACGCTTACATAATGCATAACAAACGACTTTTTGAAAGAGGGGCCTTCTATCAATGTCTTGAAATAATATACAGGGTGTTTTTAAATGAAGTAGCAAAAATGGTACCAGTGAATGTAGCCAAAAATAAGAGGATTGAAGTAAAAATACCTTATATGAAAGTTGCACCCCTGCTGTTTGCCAGATAGTACTAAAAAAGAAGTCTGATAGTAACAAATTTATGTGGTTGTTTCATGCCTTTCTGTCCAAATGGAACCGTATGCATTAAGTTAATTTATACAGGGTGTTTCAGTTCAAATGAATCAAACTTTGACCACAAATAGAACTCAATAAATAATTCAGAATTGCCTTATAAAGCAAGGGTCTAAGTCTCACCGTTTTCACTGTACAGGGCCGTATTGGTCGGTTGTTAAAATCATATTATTTACTAAATCTTTGGTATGCTTATAAAAATTTGATTAAAATTTGCACATATTCATAATTTACTGTAAAATTTACAAATTTTTGTAGGTCAGTGGCGTAGGAACGGGTAGTAAAGCGTAACTTTTTTACCCCAACTTCTACACCAATAACCTAATAATTATTTGGGATTCATTTTTAGATTCCGTGGACAATTTTATATAAAAAAGGTATACTTGTTGAAAATCGGTATAGTGTATCATTTTACCTAAAATCACAGTTGAATGGGAGACCGTTCTTCTGATAAGACTTGAATATTCAACCATTTTTTTACAAACACTAACTAATATTTCAAATCTTAAAAATAAAATGACAGTTCCTGATGACAGATAAGTCTATTATTGCTTAGTTATTTTTTCATGGCAATTGTTAATATGGTTAGTGTAATGGACAGAGAGCGCAGATTAAAAATTAATATGTAGGTGTAATTTTTTAAAGAAACTATATTTGTTTGAAACAAACGGACCGTTGAATGAGCAAGGATACCTATAATTGCTTCAGAATGGCACAAATGAAATTTTAGAAGAGGTGCCAATTACAATAACGCTAATAATTATTTTTTCGATACATATAATCCACCAGACACCATTTATATCCACAATTTGCTTTGTGTGCAGTGCAGAGATAACATTAGAATTGAAAAAATCTCTAAGTTGGCCAACAATACTTACTTTACCATATCCCCTGTCTGCCTTTTCGCTTCTTGTAAAATAAGTCTCTGTTCTGGAGTTTCTATTGGTTGAACTGATTTTCTAAGGCCTACATCCGAAATTGATTCTAATGTAGATGGTTGTAGAGAGCTAGTTGCTGTTCTTCGTAAATCTGCAGATTCCCTTACTGATAAAGTTCTACAAGAAATGTGTTTTTAATAAGTAGTATACCTATACAAAAAAGTTATTGCTAATGGGGAGGTTTATTCATTTATTTTTTTTAGTATTTAACTACAGTTTAGTAGTATAAAACCCATAGTGACAAAGTACTTGGCAACAAATTTTAAACATTTTTGCCACATGATCAACATGATTAATGCAGTTAAATAATTTTATTTTTAAATTTTCATGATTAATCAATTTGTATTAAAAATTATCTATAGAGTATTGCAATTTAAATTAATCAAACTTTATTCACATGTAGTACTCAAAAAAATATTGAGATATTTTCAACTGTTCTTTCTCGAATTTTTTCCAATATACAGGATTTTAGGGGTATTGTATTCCTATTTCATTCGTCTCTCCATGAAGAAGAATGTTGAAAGTCAGTTTACCATTTCAACTATGCATATACTCTAGTCGAATTAGAGTTTGAATAAGTGGCAAATTTACGTGATTTTTCATGAAAACCTAGATGACCTATTGGAAAATTAATCATTTTATGTTGTAGGCAATTAAGTTACCTACAATTTAAGGTATAAAGTCATGTTTCACCAATTTGTTAACTGTTAAATAATCGTGAACGCGGAAAAATCAGTTTTCGAAAATTGCGCTTTATTATCACAAAAAACAGCTGGTTCTTGATGAAATTTATGGAAAAGACAGTAAATCCAAAGATCAACATGTGTGCCAAAGACTGATTCGATTGAACATGAAATTGTTGCTCTCGCTCATTGTTAATTAATTTAGTTCGATTTTTTTGCAACTAATTGTTACATTAATAAATGTTAGTTTTAGAAGTTAATCGAGAAAGAAAATTTTCAAAAAGTTGAAATTAGGTTGCCCTTTACAACTAACAAAGTAGGATGTACAGTGTTATAAATAATTTGTCGCAGAGTCAGGCAAAAGCCGCTCGGGAATTCGCTTTTTTTGCATTAAATAGATCTTACTTTTATGGTAATTTAAATTAAAAGAGAAATCACCTACACCTCTTTGTTCCCAAGATAGCTTTTTTTATAACATTAATTGTAAATTAATTATTGAACGCATTGGACCGGGATTTTAGATTTAGAGACAATTAAAGAAAGGGTTAAACTTTTATTTTCAGAAAGTGTTACATCGATACTTCATCTAATAAACGCGCTAGCAGCAGTAAAAGTTAACGATAATGGACGGCCTGCACGCTGGAGGAGCGCCTGGCCCGCGCATGTACGTGAACGTCGCTCACGTCGCGCGCGGGATTTTTTAATTGAACGTTTTAAATTCGGTTAAAAAATCTCGCGTGACGAGGGCAGCGTTCACGCGCGTGCGCGGATCTAGCGTTCCTTCTCCCTCGTTCAGGCCGTTCATTATCGTTAACTTTTACTACTGCTAGCGCGTTTAGTACGTGTACTATTAATGTAGAACTTTTTGGAAATAAAAGTTTAACCCTTTCTTTAATTGTCTCTAACTTCCCGATCCAATATGTCCAATAGTTAATTAACAATTAACATTATAAAAAAAGTTATTTTAAGAACAAAGAGACATAGGTGATTTATTTTTTTTTAATTACCGTAAAAATAAGCTATATTTAATGCAAAAAGAGCGAATTCCAGAGCGGCATTTGCCTGACCCTCGGACAATTTGTTTATAAGGCAGTTTTGCAAGTCCTACTTTGTTAGTTGTAAAAAGCAACCTAATTTCAACTATTGAAATTTTTCTTTTTCGATACGTTTCTTTGACTCAATTAGAACCTATATCTACGATATTAACTTCTGCAATTAATGTTTAGTAATTAAACAATTAGTTGAAAAAAAAGAAAATTGAATCGGCGTTTGGCACATATGTTGGTTTTTGGATTGTCTTTTCCATAAATTTAATCAATATCCATCACTTTTTTGCAATAATAATGCGCAATTTTCGAAAACTGATATTTCCACGTTCGACCTTTATTTTACAGTTAACAAATTAGTGAAAAATGACTCTTAAGTACCTTAAATTATAAGTAATTTAATTGACTAAAACATAAAATAAATAACACTCCGATAGGTCATCTAGATTTTCGTAAATAGTAAAAAAAATGAAAAAACATAAAGTTACCACTTCTTTATAATTTGCCAATTTAGCATTACTTCTTTCGAGTTACTTATTTGATATTATTATTCTACATACTTTTCCTCATCATAAAGTGCAATAAAGTCTACTAATCATTTTATCAAGATTTCAAGTTTTATGATCTAATTCGACTGGATAACAAAATATTTTCAAAAGTAGCTTCTACAGGGTCCGCCATTAGTGTGTGGATGGAGGATAGCTCCTAAGCCCGAAGAGATATCAAAATGAAATTTAGTCCAGAGGCATACATCTATAGGAAGCACATTTTAAAATTATTTTTATTTTTTTTATACTAATTATATATAGAGTGTTGACACAAACTTGCATTTTTTTTAAATAGAACACCCTGTATATTTTTGCATATTTGGATAGCCCTATCAAAATGCAACAAGATAGTACAGGGTTTATAGGCATTTCGATGGGCCATTTTCCTAGTAAAGGTAAAAGTTCCTTCTCTTGGATGTTTTTCTCTGTCGGGATAACGTGTCTTGTAAATTCATGACGCCAGCAAACAATTCTTTTTGCACTTTCCAAGAATAAAAATCATATCAAGGAGTTCATTTCTTGAAAAAATTGTAATTTACAAGTTAAAAATATGTAATGTATATTATATGGTAATGTTGGAAAGATAATTCTATCTGCATTTCATATTAGCTAATAAAAATAGGCCTTTCCATTTAAAAATTTTTAGTAATTTTTTAATTTGCACACCTCGATTAATCTGTTTAACTAAAGAATAATGACAACACTTCTGTGGTTTCTAAGAAACTGCAAGACTATCAATGATTGTTTATGTCGCAGATTCGTTAAAACTACATCATATTGAGTGTTTACAAACTCACTCATGTTGAGTGTTTCCTCTACTAGGAAAACGGCCTATCGAAATGTCTATAAACCCTATATTATCTCGCTGTATTTTGATAGGGCTATCCAAATATGCAAAAAAATACAGGGTGTTCTATTTAAAAAAATGTAAGTTTGTGCAATCAATACTCTGTATATAATTAGTATAAAATATGAAAATAATTTTAAAATGTGCCGCCTATAAATGTACACCTCTGGACTAAATTTCATTTTGATATCTATTCAGACGTAGGTATCCTCTGTCCACACACTAATGGCAGACCATGTAGAACAGTGATTATGAATTCCCCTTACAGGTGGCCAAAACCCTAGAAGTGGCTCTTTAGGGTCTTATTGCGCCCACGTTGGCAACCACAGGTGGCGGAGAGTCATGTCGGGGTATTGTGTCATACCGAGCCTATTACACTGGGCCGCTGGGCGGCACAGCCACTATACACAATACACATTTACGCGAAGAAGACGGAAAACAGACTGCTCGCCTGGCGAGAACTACCGAACTACTACAACCAAACAACGAGTGATTTACTACGCCACCTGCTGCCCTGCATGTGTCACCGACTGAGTCACCGGTGGTGCAAACGGCTGCGCTACCTGGCGCCCTAGTCTAATAAGGCCCTTAGGGATAGATTTATGATATAAGTAGAAATAGATTAATATTTTAATTATGAGTTATTTACGATTTTTAGTTTTTACTTACTTTACGGACGATACTCTTCGCATCTGTATATTTTCAGCGACTTCATCAGTCCAGAACAAATTGTATGAGCTATCACACAAATCAACTTTGTAAGGAAGAGGTAATAACTGGTACGAATCATTAGTTAATTGCCCATTATTTTCCTGAAAATTATATAAGTTGAACAAAATTTTATTTTTCTAGTCAAAAAAAAAAATAAAGGGTATAGAATATATTTTCTATGGTGCTGAACATGAATCTGAAGTTATTTTTGTGCGGTCGAACCTAGATTTCGAGAAAAAATTTTAAAAAAATTCTAACCGGAACATTTCACACAACACTATGCACAACTCTGTATACTTTATGTAACTCTCAGAACATCTATTATGAAAAATTAACATTGTTTACGAAATGCATTTTCGCAAATTTCAAGTAAAAAAAATGTATATTTAATAAATAAAAATTTTGTTGCTTTTTGTAATTCGTGTTTGTGATGACATTGAACTCACTATCATTCATCTCTGTTCATCCCACATAAAGTTACTATAATTTTATTTATTAAACACATATTTTTTTTTAGTTCAAATTTGGGAAAATGTGTTTCTTAAACAATGTTGATTGTTTATTACAGATGTTCTGAAAGCTACATAAAATATACAGTTATGCGTTGTGTTGTATGAAATATCCAGGTTAGAATTTTGAAAAAATGTTTTCTCTAAAACTGGATTTGAACAAAAATAACTTCACATTTGTATTCAGCACCATTGAAAATAGGGGGGTAATGTAATTATTGTTGTAAGACGCAAATCTTTGGTGTGTCTAAAGCTATTTTTATCAATTTTCTGGATTTTTTTTAAACATTAATGTGTGCCAGATAGAAATTTCTTTATATCTAATGGAACACCCTATATATTTTTCCAGATTTGAGAATTCTGAGTTGAAAACATGTGACATACCCAATCATTTAGGAATTATTTAATAATTTATAAAAAAAATTACATATAAAGTCTGCAAAAAACAACTGTTTTCATAAAGTGCATATGAGTTTTGCTATAGAATGAGGTTAAAGGGGACTTATATTCTCTGAAATACAAATAATTTTAGAATATACCTATAGCAACTATAAAAAGAATGTTTTCAAATGAATCTACTTAATAAAATTTGGCATGGTACTATTTATAGTTATTACATACTGTATGTAATGCTTGTACATTTTGCCGATGAAACGGATGTAACATTTCTCTGTTCAATTCATGCCATACAAAATTCGGTGATAAGCTTCCTTAAAAAAAAAAAATATATTTTTTTAAACTAACCCAAAAGCACTTTTCTGGAAATTCCAATTTTTTTCGACATGAAATAGCTATGCCACGGCGACGTTTATCTGCAACAGACGTGGCTTATGTCGTTACTCTCCTTCAAGAGTCAATAGTCAAGTTCAAGTTCATGGGGGTGAGCCAATCGGGTATTGAAAAAAATTATTTTTTACAATTATTAACATTTTTTGATGAACAAGCTACTGCTAAAAACCCATTTTCAACTTTAAAAAGTTGTTACACCGATTTTCAGTAAAAATGACAAATTTAAACATTCTGGGTACTAGGAAAAAAAGTCGCAGCATTTTGAAACTATCAGGGTTTCTATAGGACACTTTGAGGTTGAAAAATTACAACCGATATCCTTAGTTTATCCATTATTTGCAAAATTATGCAAGTGATGCATAAGTTATGTTAATCAAATATCCCCAATTATGCAATTTTTTACCACTTTTCCAACCAACTTTTACTTCGAAAATTTTTTTTCAAAAACCAATAATTACGACCTTAGACAATACTTTGAAGTTTTCAAAACCCTATTTGGATATTCTATACGATCATTATTTCCAGAGTAATTGAATGCCAAATTCAAAAATGATTTTTTTGCATTGATCGATGATAACTTAGCACCAGATCATCGTACAGAACTCCGGAACAACTCAAATTGAAGAGAATTAAATTGTTTAAAAGAGCTTTACGATGAAATTACAAAAAAAATATATATTGAGGTCCGTAGACCTTTCGAGGGTTTTCTTTTGATTACTCAAAAACCGTTCTGACGCTAAAACATTTTAAACTTAATGTCCCTTAATTTTTGTAACTAGTGTATTTTAATGTTGCAGACATATGTTAAGGCCCACCCTTCACTTGCAATGAGACATTAGGAAGTTCATTTTAAAATATTTAAGACAATTAAATTATTTTTTTTTTAATTTTGTAGTGGTGGCACTAACTTCGTACACAAATTGTCAAACTCTATTTATTACACTCATAAATATTCATCTACAACAGTAACAGCAGCTTTATCTAAGACCATCTCAAAAATTTGTAGTTTTAACTCTTATACTAGAAAAAAATATAATTTTATTTTACACAATATTTTTCAGTTTAAAATTTGCAAAATTTAATAAAAAAAATTTTACTTGTGAAACAGATAGACATAAAACAGATAACATTTAAAATAAGGTTAGTTGTCACATATATATTTAAACATTCTGTTAAAAAAAAAAACAGAAAATAGATGTGAATAAAATTTTTCTATTGTTAAATAAGATACAAAAAACTCATCCTGTATATGTTCTCACTAAGTATTTAAAAAGAACTTCATTCACTACTTACATTGCATCTGTTAATTCCAACAATTCGTTTTCCTGCATGCTTAACTTTAAAATTTCCTCTTTTTTGAGCTATCTGTAAAAGAAAATATTATTTTACTTAACAGAATCTGAAATATTTTTTAAACCGGGTCCAGATATATGGTCACTATAAAATATTTGCCAAATGTAAACAAATAAAATATCATGTGGATGACTAAATGGTTGAGGATGTGAATTATGTGCAAGATTTGCAGGAGTACATAGATTTATCGTAATAAATAAACAAGTGCCCAATCATATGGATGGTACATTACGATTGATACATTCGAAGCCATGTCTTCCCTTGACAAGTATACAGGGTGTCCCAAAAGTGACGCCCGTCCTTTTGGGTTTTGATTAAGGGTACAAAAACAAATTGAAAATCAAGAGTGGAAAATTTTCTGATTATTTCTTTGTTATTCAAAAAAAATTATTCAAAAAACAAAAACAGATAAACATTTGGGCTGAGTTACTAAATAATTATGTAGTTCAGAGCTGTATTTACTGCAGCTGTATGTTTTTAAGGACGTTCGGTAGAGATAGCGGGGGGAAACATTTGCGGGGCAAGGGGAAACTAGCGATGAGTGAAGACTTGACAACGCCGTACGGGTCAATGTGTGAGTGTTCATGTACACGCATCAGGTGTCTGCACTGTCTGCTCGTCTGCTGCGTCGGTTATGACAGCGTATGTGTATGTTCAATTTGTGATAAAGCTGTAAGTATTTGACTATTATGTTATAAAAATGTAATAAAAATGAATAAATAAATAATTAAAAAGACTTGTGACAATTGTATTTATATTCGTAGATTTCATTCGTAAAAATGCCCAAAGCCAAACAGTATAACCTCCAAACTACGAAGAATGAGAAAGGAACAGAAATAATTCGATTCAAAGGAAAGTTTACAAAAAAATATAAAGTTGAAAGGCATTTACGAGCTAAGTTGAGGAACCAGCTACAAAAAGAGAAGAATGTTTCTACCAGTAATGACAAAGATATTCCTGTTGATGGAGAGAGAGTAATTGATTTAAAAACCATGGCCAAGAAAATGTTCTGTGAAAAATGTGTGGATAAATTTGGCTTGTGTGATATTCCCGCCACTTGCGACGATGCCGTTGCGTTTCTGTCGAACTCTTATTTATTTTTTTATTCATAAACGAATCAGATGATCGTCGCGAAACTTGGTATACATTAAATTAATAACATTATCTGTGACATATAAAAAAATTGGCAAAATTCAATGGGCCAATTTTCTTAAAACTGAGTTTTTATCAGTTTTCCCATAAGCGACCGTGTTAAAATGACTGAACTTTGAAATTCAATATCTCGAAAACGAAACAGATGAACCTCTTGAAATTTTGACAGATTTATTGTAACAATAAGAACGTCTGGTCAAAATTTCAAAAAAATTCATTGGAGGGTTTTATCTCTACCGAACGTCCTTAAATGAAAACTTACCATTGCCATTGCTGGATGACGTTCCGTTAACAGTTAGACTAAATTATTGGTTTCGACATGATGGAGCTCCATCACATTATGGTTTACGAGTATGAAATTATCCGAATCAAAACTTTGATTTTCAATTTGTTTTTGTCCTTAATCAAATCCCAGAAGGACGGGCGTCACTTTTGGGACACCCTGTATATGCACAAGCTATGCAAACAGCACACCGTTTAGAGTATTAAACAAGTGGATGTCGCTCAGGGAATAAAAATACATTAAAGAAAATGAATCTGCCAGAATGTAAGAATGCCACTATCAATATTTCAAGCAGGTACCACCGTGTATCTTTTCTACAATTGTAAAAAAAAATGGCAAGTGTACACAAACGGTTGACATGCGACTATTGGTAGGTGACTAGGTCATTTGGACCCGGCATTAGAATTATGTACATATATTTTCATAAAAAGTATAATTTATACTGGGTGTTTCAAAATGGCATGTAGATATTCGTGAGGTAAATACTATCCTATTTTTTGAAGAGCTATTATTTTCAAATTTAGATCAAAAATTATATTTCAAAGGTTTTTACACAAAAATGGATTTTAGTCATAGCGCTGAAGTTTAAAATTTATTTTTATCAACCAAAAAATATTATGAAACAAAATATTCATATAAAATTACAACCATTATACAGGATTCTGACTTTCTTCTCAAAGGAACATACTCTTTAAAAATTCCATCTACATTGTATACCGTATTCAAAGCGGCAATTATGCAATCTATAAAATTACTCTTATTTTCATTTGATGTTATGTACACCATTAATTTGACGTGCCTCCCATAAAAAAAACCATGACTGTGATCCATCTCTACCTATCCATTTATTAAGATAAATTTATTCGAATATTCTGAAATATGTTGACGCACGAGCAAAATTAGTGTTTCAGTTTCTAAAAAATGATATTGTCCATCTAGTGTACCAGGAATAAAGAATGGTCATTTGAGATGATGGCTCCCACTCATATATTTACCGAAAACTGGATGAGGATTTTCTTCAGTCCATAAATGATTATTGTAAAAATGTTGGATTTAATTTCCAGAAAAGTTTGCATAATCAGTAGACAGGATTTGCTTATCAAAATTTGGATATTCAGCAGCTTTTGACAAATATCATGAGGTAGCAGTGCTTGCACTCGCACAATGTGGCAAGGATACAAATGCTGGTCTTTCAAAATCCTCTAAACTGTCTAATCTAAACTAGTAGTACACTTTACACTTTCACTTCTTTAACTTAACAAAATAAAAGTCACAATTTACTTCTAAAAGAGGACTTTTTTGTTAGAATAATGACAAAATAAACAAATCGGATCAATTGTTTTTTGTTTCTAACGTTCTGTATTATTGATTGCTGTGCGCACACTCGTTCCAATTCTCGTTCAACACTGCTAAAATTCTCAACATCTACGTGACTTTCTTAATTATGTCAGAAACTGCTCAATAAAAAATTATAATTAAATAGCTCATTTCAAAATCTACGAAGTCAGTTTTTTTGATAAATGAACTTTTTGACATGAGATGATCTCTATCCTGCACAATTGCATATCTATTTATATCGTAAAAGTATCATAAATTACAAACTTATGTAATTTTTACAAAGAACACTATATCCATATACAGTGAAACTTGGTTATAACGACATTGCTTTATACGACGGAATTTGGAAGTCCCGATTGTAACAAAGAGGTTGGCCGTAGGTTATGTAAGGGGACCGTTGCATTATAACAAAGAGCTTGGCCGTTGGTTATGTAAGCTGACGTGGCAGTCTATCACATTTGGAGGCATGAGACGGTCGTTCCTGCGATAGTTGTTTTCGAATAGTTGATTAGTTAGTTGTTTGGTGTTAATTGTTATTTCTCTGGATAGGTTACTTTTGGAAATTATTGTGTTTAGTGGTGGTTACTTTTGTTAGTTGGGTGAGTACATTTTTATCAGCTGCAAGATTTATGTTGGGCGGATAATCTTCAGTAGTTTGAATTATTGGTGTTAAGAATGATCTTTGTCCAATATCATTTATGTCAATATAGTGAGTTAAGGGTCCCCTTGCTACTGATGTATTTCGATGGGTTAAAGGACCCGTAATCTGTATATGTATTGAGTGGGTTAAATGTCCCAATATTATTTATGTATTGAGTGGGTTAAATGTCCCAATATTATTTATGTATTGAGTGGGTTAAATATACCAATATTATTTATGGATTGAGTGGGTTAAATGTGCTGATATTATTTACATATTGAATGGGTTAAATGTCCCGATATTATTGAAGTGGGTTAAAAAACCCAATATTATTGAAGTGGATTAAATGTCCCGATATTATTGTAGTGGGTTAAATGTCCCGAAATTGTTGAAGTAGGTAAAGTGTCCTGATATTGTTGTTAAGGATCTCTCCCCATGTACCTATTGTAAGCCTAAAGGATTCAAGGTCTCAATGTTTATTATCCTACTGGGTCATGCAACCTTTTCTGCATAATCATGCCTCGCTGAGTATCCTGTCGGGTCGAACATCACTTATGATTCACACGTCTTTGTTGGGACTCTGGATCCTGGCTCGTCATACCGTCACATTTTGTATTCCGCTCATTGTAGAATAATTGTAAAATTCTCGTAATTCTCAATAAACTTGGAAAAAAATTCTCCCTTGACCTTGTTCTTTCTTACATGATTAAATCATATAGGCATACTATGTATATTAAAAATATCGTTTACTACGACATCATTTACGCCATTTCAGATTTAGTGACATGTTTTTATATACATTTACCATAGAATTTATCGGTTATAAAGACCAATAGTGATATACTGCCCTAAAACCAATGCACCGCTCTTCCGCCCGACCCGCCAGTATCCACATTTTTGACACCATTTGGAACAAATTAGTTATATTATATGTATTCATTACCACTTTTTATCATGATCTCCAAGAGAAAAGTGTTTAATAAAGAAGATATATCACATATAATATAGAGACTAAAAAACGGAGAAACTAATGCAAGCAAGCAAATGAATGTGGCGTGTCACACTGCGATTTAAACAATTTGGAAGGATAGAAATAAAATAAAGTCTCTATTCGAAAACAATGAATTGAAAATGAAATGTGCGAGATCTTTTGAACACAAAGCAATACGTATGTACATACACATTTAAAGATTTGTATTGTAAATTTCTTTTTTTCTATAAAAATTTTATATAAAATGTATGTAATTGCTTATTACATCTATCGGTTATAACAACCGTAAACAAACGTTCCCTTGAAGGACGTTATAACCGATTTTCACTGTAATTGTTTTTGTGAAGGCGTTGCTGATCCTATATGTAGGTTTATATTTGTATTGCATTTTATGTATTTCATGAAGGTGGCAAACAAAGGTTCTAATGTTCAACGGTTCTATATACACAATTTATGAACAAAGATATTCAAGAAATACACTCGTTCTCTGATAACCGCACTGGGCAAAATAAAATTCACACAGTGATGAGATTTTTATTTTCATAATACACACATTACTTTCCAGTTCGTGGAACACCCTGTATATATATATTTGAAAGCGTACCTGTTGAGATCTAAGAGCAACTTCATTCACTTGTAACTCTACTAATTGTTTTCTTTCTCTTTTTGTTTTTTTACTCATTTTTGCAGCTTCTCTTGGCAAATCAATTTCAATTTCTACAGCTGGCGGAATATCGCCAGTTTGCACTACTTCCAGTAATTCAGTACTCGGATGAACTTCCTTTCCGAGACTAAGTCCTTCTGTTGGTACTGGTTGTAATACTGAAGCAGATTCCACTTCTGAAATGTGTTCAGTTAATCTCTCAGATTCAAGATCTATTCGTGGAACAGGTACAGTTGCAGAAAAATTTTCATCAGTTGGTGGTTGTTGCAATGCTTGTAAGTCTTCTATAAATCCATCTGAAAAATTATTAATCATACAGCAATTTAAAGGTAGAATAAACAAATATATATATA